TAGCCTGAGTTGCAGTCATGTTCTCCTTTCTCCTAGAAGGTCTATGGTATTAGGTATTGGTCTATGATCCATTCGAGTTTATTGTCATTGATGAAACAAGTTATTGATCAAAGTTATTGATCAGAGTTTTGGCATATAGCTATCCAATGGTTCCAACACCATTTGCTGAAAAGACTCTGCTTTCTTCACAGTACCGGCTTTGCGCCTTTATCAACAATGAATAAACCATATACATACAGGTTCATTTTTGGGATTTCCATTCCACTCCATTGCTTAATTTTTCAATCTTGATGCTAACACCACTGCATCTTGATTTGGTTTTTTACAAAGGAAAAATAAACAGCAAAACAGGGAACCCCACTTAACCATCTAAATTTGTTCCCCAAATTTATGCAAATTCCACTTGAATGAGCTTATAAGCAAATTGAGCAATATGATTTTTCCCACTCACCAAAAAAAAAAAAAGTAATGTTACTGTACTTAAGGCTAATAATGTAAAATAAATATGACAAAGTCTTGCTCTCAATAAACTTGCAGCCTATTAGTGGAGGCAATCTATAACTAGACAGTTAAACTTCAGTAAAATATATGCTTTGATTCTGTGAAACAGGCCTGAGGTGACCAATGGCCTGAATTAGAAAAGAGGCAATTAAAGTGAGGAGGAGAGAGAACACACGACTTCCTACCTGTAGGACTTGACCCAGAAGCAAGGGGGAAGTAGCAGCGTCCCTCCCTGGTTTCTGGAGTAAATTTTTAAACGGATGGTTTTATCACTGTTGACTAAGAGTATACCTGGGGAACATACTTGGAGTATTGTTTGAAATTACTTTAGTAACGATTTTTTTTTATTTCTTTGTTTTCACTGACTATTATTTTGTACTTGCATCAGCTTTATTCTTTTTAACTTTACTTCAGTTTTATTGACATGTAATTAACAAATGATACTGTGCAAGTTTAAAGTGTACCACATGTTGATTTGATACATTTATAAATGGCAAAATTATTACCACCATAGCAGTTAGTTCCCACCTCTATCCTGTCACATAGTTACCATTTCTTTTTTGTAGTGAGAATGTGTAAGATTTACTCTCTTAGCAATATTCAAATATATGATGCAGTTTTATTAGCTATAATCACCATGATGTACATTAGATCCTCATACTTGTTAACCTTATAACTGGAAGTTCATACCTACCACTCTACTTTCTGTTTCTCTGAGTTTGTCTTTTTTTAAAAAAAAACCTGTAGTTGGCATACAATATTATATTCAAATGTTTGTCTTTTTTAGATTCCATTTATAAGTACTATCATCAGAATTTGTCTTTCTCTGTGTGACTTATTTCTCTTAATATAATACCCTCAGAGTCCATCCAAGCTGTCACAAATGGCAGGATTGCCTTCTTTCTCTTGGCTGAATAATATTCCATTGTACGTATGTGTATATACCATGTCTTCTTTATCCATTCATCCATCCATGGACACTTACCGTATTTCCCCATATATAAGACACACCCTTTTCCGAAAAATTTAGGGTCTAAAAACTGTGTGCATCTTATACAGTGGTTGTATGAGCGCAAACACAAGCGCAAAAAAAAGCAGGAAATGCAAGTAAAAAAACTACAACCACTGTATAAGACGCACCCAGTTTTTAGACCCAAATTTTTCGAAAAAAGGTGCGTCTTATAGATGGGGAAATACGTAGGTTGTCTCCATATTTCGTCCATTGTGAATAATGCTGCAGTGAACATGGGAGTAAAGAACTCTATGAGATCCTAATTTCAATTCCTTATATATGCAGAAGTGGGACTGATTTCAATAACCATTCTTACTTAATATTTCCTGCCAGACTATTAAGAATCCTATGTGGCAAGTAATAGTAATTAGCTCTCTGAAATTGCTTTTAAAATAATTTCTTTCTTTACCATTACACGTAATGCTCTTCAAGTTCCATTCAAATGTGAGTACTTATAGCAACAGTTCATCAGTAAATTATAGCAAACAGATTCAGCGAAGTCATAGAATACTCATCATTGCCTTAAATCACTTCATAATTTTGGCCATTAATATAAAACAGATTGGTCATATCATTTCTCAGCATTTCATAATTTGATAATGTAAGTGAATGTGTCATAATGAAACCTCAAAAAGCAGTTGAAAAGAGAATATCCTATGTCTCATGTTAAAATTTGTGCTGTGAGGAGATAATGAACAAAAGAACAGACTTTGTTTATCAGGGTTTAGGTCTAAGGAGCCTGAATGGACCCCCTTCATCCTCGAGCTGTGCCCACCTCTGGGACACGTGGCCCCTGCCCTGCTGGGCTTGTCGCCAGCACACTGAGACCAATTCAGGCACTTGAGTCTGCTTTAAAATAGGTGTGCCACTCATCTGTTTCTAAAACAAAGCTTCATCGCCATAGAAAATATGAAATTTATAGTGTAAGGAAGCTAAGAATTATTGGGAATATCCTCTATATTTGTGTATTAAGATGTGGGATGATATTATTAATATTTAAGACCCACACTTCTTAGGCAGGATTCCATAAACAGCATATGGTTGAAGTCCATTTCAGCAAGGAGCCCCAGTACAATTGCCCAGTCAGCCTGGCACAGACAGCTGGAGGGGAGGACTGTGGCATAGGGCATTTTCAATCTGGTGGTGACAAAGCTGCCACACAGTAGGCCCGGAAGTTCCCCGACGAGGTTGACTGCATTCCTACCGCGTGGCTTCCATTTCGAGTGAAGACGAGACAGCACAGGTGTTCTGGCTAGCTCCTCACATGATTGGGTGTATGGCTTTCATTGGGACTATTTTTTCATCTCGGAGGCAGCATCCAGAAGATGCCGTAATAGAAGAAGCTATAGACAAAGGAGGATGCAGCCATCTGTCTTCCAGTGTGTGCTGGAGTGGGGATGAGCTGCCCTGGTGTGGGCTGGGGAAAGGGAACCCTTAGAGGGGTTAGATCAGGAAGCAGCGAGGCTCGCTTTTTACGCTTTCTGTTAAAATCCTATGATGTCACAGACATGAGAAACTCCTGAGCAGTGTTCCTTGTAAAAACAACAACAACAAAAAAGATGAATTCTCAGTAAAGAAAACTAGTTAGAATAATTAGAATAGTGACAAAGTAAAGGTTTTAATAGACTTTCAGGTGAAGCTGGTGATGTGGACACACATAAGTACTTTCTCTCCTATTGGAAACTCACTAATACAATATTAAAGGGAGACTTTTTTTCAAACCAAAAACTCACAAAGACTGTTCTTACTTTGCCTGAATACCTGATAGGGGTGAACAACTTCATAGAAACTAAACAACCCCTCC